GTTCACATGATGTGTCTTGAACGGCAGACGTAAGTCAGTGACACAGGGCCGTTTACATTTGACATAAAGTATAGACACACGCACTGCAGGACATTACGGCTTGTACTTATGAGCAGAGATGGGACAACTCAGTTTGCTCCCATTGAAACCCATGTAAATCTTGTCTGTTTTGGAGTCAAAAGCCTCTCATCCTGTGTGGTGTAGAGGATATATATATATATATAAATATATATAAAGATATATATATACAATTTTTTTTTTTTTTTAATACACTCACCTTTCGTCCTCCGCGGGCGGTTATCCCTCTCTAAGCTCGGGTCCTCTACCAGAGGCCTGGGAGCTTGAGGGTTCTGCGCAGTATCTTTGCTGTTCCTAGCACTGCACATTTCTGGGCCGAGATGTCCGAGGTTGTTCCGGGGATCTTCGGGGTCACTGCCCCGAGTGCACCGATCACCACGGGCACTACTGTCACCTTTACCCTCCAGGCCCTCTCCAGCTCCTCTCTGAGACCTTGGTATTTCTCAAGCTTTTCGTGTTCTTTTTTCCGGATGTTACCATCACTTGGAATTGCCACATCCACCACCACGGCTGTCCTCTGCCCTTTGTCTACCACCACGATGTCAGGTTGGTTCGCCATTACCATTCGGTCGGTCTGTATCTGGAAGTCCCACAGGATCTTCGCACGCTCATTCTCCACCACCTTTGGAGGAGTTTCCCACTTAGACCTTGGGGTTTCCAGCCCATACTCTGCACAGATGTTTCTGTACACTATGCCAGCCACTTGGTTATGGCGTTCCATGTAGGCCTTCCCTGCCAGCATCTTGCACCCTGCAGTTATGTGTTGGATCTTGTCTGGTGTGGTATATCTGGGCCTCTATCGCTCTGGTGCTCAGGGCCTGCTCCTGTGCAGCCATGATGAGTGCCTCTGTGCTGTCCTGTAGGGCAGCCCTTTCTAGCCATTGGTAGGACTTCTGTTATGCTCCGGTGGTACATGCCGTGTAGGGGCTTGTTCTCCCATGATGGGCTCTCCTCCAGCACCTCCTCATCTCGCCACTGCCAGAGACATTCACTGAGTACGTCATCCGTTTTGACCATCTACATTATGTAGTTATGGAGTTTGGATGTTTCGTTCTGGACATTGGCTCTCACACTCACTAGTCCTCGGCCTCCTTCTTTACGGCTTATGTACAGTCTCAGGGTGCTGGATTTGGGATGGAACCCGCCATGCATGGTAAGGAGCTTTCGAGTTTGAATATCCGTGGTCTGAATCTGTTCCTTTGGCCACCTGATTATTCCTGCAGGGTATCTGATCACTGGCAGGGCGTAGCTGTTAATTGCCCGGGCCTTGTTCTTAGGGATGTAAATCGGTGACCATTTAACCTGTGGTTGACCGTCACAGCGTTAACCGGTCAAAGCTGTCGGTTAAAAAAAGAGAAAAAGGGGAGAGGGGAGGTCTCTTAATAACGCTATTTTAAGCCCTATTTGCACGATGTGACGAGCGGGTCTGTATCTAGCTGTGTGCGCCCATGTATTATAAACTCCGGGACGACTCTCACGCCGCACGAGCCACATATGCACACACGCACGCGCGCGCGCACACACACACACACACACACATACTTTCCCCCTCTCCATACGTAACATCCACTCCACACGCATCATCTCTCCCCTCTGTTACCGTCAAAGTTGCACACTGGCGCGGGTCAGAACTACATTGGAGCTTACATTTAAGGGCTCGACACACGGGAGGCGACAAATGAGAGCGATCAGCGAAACTCAATGCTGTCGCTCAGATAACATGACAGACGGGGCGCGATGCGGCTTGACGACAGCGTCGAAAAGTTGAGCTGATTTCAACTTTCTGGGATCGCGTCGCTGACCTGCGCGTGCACGATACATGCACGAGCGGGAGGATTTCACACGCACGTTTTTCGCCCGTCGCTGAGCAGGAGGCTCGCTAGCGATTGACGCTATGTCGCGCACGTCCCATTGAAAATGAATGGAGGCGATCACACACACACACATATACATACACACATACATACACACACACATACCGGTCTGTCGCGCTCCTCTGTGTCACGGAGCCCAAAGGATTCGCGCAAATACGCGGCTCCAGTCAAACCACATGGAACATGTTTGTGTTTATGGTCCTCGGGATCAGCTCCACACACATCACTTGTATTTAAACTTTTGTGAAGACCTGTGAGACGCGGCGCGTCACTCGCTGCTCTGACCATGTGGACGAGCCGTCGTTTGCTGCTAGAAAGTTTTGGTATTAACCCGCAGCACAGCAGAATGGGAAGATTAAAAAAGCAGTTCTCTGTGCGCTAAGGTGCCGGAGCTGTTGTGGGTTTTGGTGCCGCTGTCTCGGCTCTGATCCAGTAGAACGCAGAGCTGCACTTATGAAAAGTACGCGGCTCGAAATGGCTGTTATTTCAAAGAACGTGGACTATTTTAAACTACGCGGTTAACCGGTTTCAACTGGTTAATGAGGCTCGGTGGTCGGTCATGAAAATTCATAGTTTTTTACATCCCTACTTGTTCTTGCCATTGAGCCGGCTTCTTAGGACCTGCCTTACTCGCTGGAGGTATTTGGAAATTGCCGCTTTCCTCGTCGCCTGTTCGAGGTTGCCATTTGCCTGTGGTATACCGAGATACTTGTAACTGTCCTCAACGCCTGCTATTGTTCCCTCTGGGAGTGAGATCCCTTCTGTGTGGACTACCTTGCCTCTCCGAGTCACCATCCTGCTACATTTCTCGAGTCCGAATGACATCCCAATGTCATGGCTGTAGATCCTGGTGGTTTGGATCAGAGAGACGATGTCTCTCTCGCTCTTGGCGTACAGCTTGATGTCATCCATGTAGAGGAGGTGACTGATCTTTGCTCCGTTCCTGAGGCGGTATCCATAGCCAGTCTGGTCAATTATTTGGCTTAGAGGGTTGAGGCCTATGCAGAACAGTAGTGGGGACAGAGCATCTCCTTGGTAGATACCACATTTGATGGTCACTTGAGCGAGCGGCTTGCCATTTGCCTCAAGGGTGGTATATATATCGACGCCTTCTTAAACTAATCGCCTAAGTCACATTTTCATATTTTTCAGGAAACACAAAAAACTACATAACTTATTAAAAATATAACTTTTATTAACAGTTTCAATCCAAAATGTCATTACATCAGATGCCTGTTGACATACTAATAACAATTTCTACCAACTATGCAACACAGCAGAAATAACGGACTTAGGCAATTTTCTGAATATGTCTACGGTGACTTAGGCAATATAAACATTTTAACCCTGCCAACATTAAACCTAAAATATTAATAGGAGGAATGTAAATCTCCTCACTCTTCTTACCAGTCCCACTTTACTGGTTTCTTGATGCCCATTAATGTGGCAAAGTGTCAAAGAAATGATGGCACTCCAATGGCATCACGTGTTTCATTGACTGTAGGTCTTGGAACTTTCTCTCCTTGATTGGCAGAGCACTTGGAAACATTCTAATCCATGGCATTGGCTCATTTTGTACCTGCATCCTCTGTGGCAGTGCTTCCCACACAGAGTCCTCTGAGAAGGACAGTTTGAAATGCACCGTACCTTCACTGCCAAACTGAAGAGCTCGCAAGTCATGCACAGTTGGATCACCAGCTTTTTTGCCTGGTCTGATACTATTGAAGTAAGATCCATTCATTTTCAGGAATGCATAATGCTTGAGAACCTTGACATGGTATGGTGATGGCTTGATTCTTGCAGTCTGAAGTATCACAACATAGTCTCTCGGGGTGAAGATATCTGTGACGATTTTGCGTTCAATCGTACTATGCATGCTATCGCACTCCATCTGTGTGTGCCCGGCAACAAGGTATTTTTGTGTTATTAAAATACCCCATGTTTCCTTGCAAGCTCAGATAATGCATTTGACACACATGTATTGCGGTTCTGATAACCACAACCATCACTCCATATTATTATCTCCTTGAGTTCTGGATGGTCTTGGATCACACCTTCAAAATGGGAGTATTGGATGTAGGCAAATACCTCACTACTAAGGTCAGCCTCTGTTTCGTCCCAGAGGTAGCAGTACCCTTCCTTGGATCTCATGTTGAAGAGGGTAAAGTTATGGACCTGCAGTTTTGTTTTGTAATACAGGCTGCTCGCTTGGGTTCTTGGACACAGCAGCACAGCTTGCATATCCATTGACCAAACTGACTTCTCATTATTTGCTGACTCCTTGTCTCTGGACTTCTCTTGCCTTGCTTCATCTTTCTTAATGATATGTGCATCATATTCAGCCTGGCTTATGTTATTGTGCTTGAATGAAACACAGACATCACACTGGTCTTTCCGTGGAATGAATACAGAATAGTTCTCTTTGTGGAACACATTACTAAAATACCCTAATCCAACGCTCCTTACTCCAGCAGCTGTAGCCATTTCTTCATATTCCCGATGTAGTTGGGATATGGTTGTGCCTGGGTGAAGGAACTTCTTATCTTTGTAGGTGTTTGTGCTTCTGCAGTAGTGTGAAGGGACAGTGGGCAGGTCCCTCAACCACTTGGAAAGGAAATCCACGTCGTCTGTTTTAATTTTTGAATGCTTGCCACTCTTAGGTCCATATTTAGATGGCTGCGCTTCCATTTCTTCATCATTGTCAATTGTTTCTTTGTTAAGCCATTCTGTAATGGTTCTTTCTGGGACACCAAGTGTAGAGCAAAAAAGTGATTTGCACACTTTGAGACTCGTTCCATCTTGTGGCTTCAGTTGAAAGGACAGTGAGCGCTTTCGTCGGGATGCCTCAACAACTTTCTTTCGCTTGATGTCAACCTTTTTGACTAAAGTGGTTATATATAACTGACGTTCTTTCCAGGACTCCATCGCCCATATCTTCTGAAATATCCACTGCCTCTGCTCTTCTGTGATACTTTGGCATTCACGAGTAGATGTACGCTGACAGAACTTGGAGTTGCAGGGAGGACCCATAGTCTTTGCACTTTTCTCAGTTCCACCTTTGCTCTTGTATGAGATTCCTTTAAGACGTTTTTCCTTGCTTTGATTTTGCTTCCAATTCCCCGGACTGAGGCGTTTATTTCTTTTCTTTTTGCTCGGATTTCCTAAATCTTCCGTCTTATCCTGCTGTTCAAGAGTTGCTGAAACCATGGTTAGGATGTCTTCATGTTCAGTTGCAGAACACTCATCAAAAGTTGGGTTATAGTCTGGATCAGTGACGACATTATCACCACAATCATCATCGTCACTTATGTCTTCGCTGTAATAAACAGAATCTTCATCTGTAACATGTTGCTCCATCTCTTCAACAACAGCCTCATCAATTTCAGTGTATGAGGCCTGATCAGTGATAGCGTTGTCAAGTGCATCTCCTGCCAAAAAGTAAAAGAAATCTCAAAAAAATTGCATGCATCTATAAGTCTTTCTCATTCTTGTCATTAAATATTTTGTTTATAATTGATGTAACTTTCTCTATGTTATTAAAATACATAATTTTGCAACAGTTTTTTTCCCAAATGAAATTAAGTGGTAACCATCTGAAAACTCCAAGATACTGTTTTCTCAGGATCGGCCCCCTGGATGAAATAATAGCCCACCCTTGGTTTACAAGGAGACGTGAACAGCAGATGCTCATCAGAGGAGCTAATACAGATTACAACATGTTTTTCCAAAATTATTTGTGAATACATAGTCATTCTTTACTAAATTCACTTTTCAAAAGTCTTTTACTAAACTAATTTACTTCATGCTTAACATCACTTAACGTGGCACTCAATGTCCTCCACAGTTCTGGACTATTCCAGATGCTTGCTAACTGCTAGCTTGTACAGCTACTTTACTATCAACAATTCTGACTTTAAATTGAAATTAAATTACTAAATATTTGCAATATTTAAAGCCTAGCCTATAATGTAGTCATCATAATCACTTACCAACAGGAGATGAGCCATGAATCATGGAAATCACTTCAGTGACTGAGAACATTTGTCTTGAAGCAGTCTCCATTTTGATTTTGACAGTTTGTAAAATTGCCTAAGTCACATTGACTTTGGACTTAGGCCGAATTATTTTGCCTAAGTCACGCTCTTGTCATGGTTTATATTACGGCCTAAGTAACAACAGGGTTTTAAAGCATGATCTCCTCAACAGAGGCCCAAAGGTGCCAAGCGTCAAGAGGAGCTGATTTAGGCAAAAAAATCATTTTTGGCAAAATGTCACTTAGGCGATTAGTTTAAGAAGGCGTCGATATGGTATATATATGGTATGTATGTATATATGGTATGTATATATATATACAACACTGCCGAAAGGACATACAAGCGGTCAAAATGGGCTCCTTCCGAAGAGTGGCTGGGCGCTTCCTCGGCGATAGAGTCAGGAGCTCAGTCACCCGGGAACGGCTGCTGCTCCACTTCGCGAGGAATCAGTTGAGTTGGCTTGGGCATCTGTTCTGGATGCTAGGAAAGCTGTAAAGGCTTCAATATCCATATATCTATCTATCTATATAGAGTTAAAGATTTTAAGGTGAATGAATAAGGTAATTTAAGCGAAGTGGTAGTTAATTAAATAGATTTGCATAATGACTATATTTATTTCTTGTAGCTAAAACGAAAATCGTTTAAAATAATTAAAAATTGTCTTTTCGACCTGATTTGACACGCAGGCTGCAATTTTACACCCCTGCTCTGAAAAGTCTTCTTTTCTCAAATAACATGTGAGGCTTGTTCAAGTAAAACGCTTGAAAATGAAACCACATTTTAATTTATTATTCGCGCTCAATCGCTCCAGACCAACTCCCCTCCCCTCTGGACCGCCTGGCCACAGCACAGGAGCTGAACACGGAAGTAACGAGGAGGACTTCCCTCCTGCAAGTAATTCATTTTTAACTGAGTTAACATCCATGGTTAACAGCCGCAGGCCAGCCGTCATGTCTACAGCATATAAAAACAGGTAAGCGACAGTAGTGTTGTTATATTTATGTTTGTGCTTCACACGAGATTTATTTGTATTTAGTGTCAATATTGCATGTACTTTTGCAGCTTTCAAACCACATAGACGAAAGGGATAGGCTAGCATCACAGCTTGTCAGTTAAAGAAAACAATATAAGTCAGATCTTCAAGCCATAACTTTATCATACGTTTTTAAAAACGTTTGTTTTCCCAGATCTCACGCTAGCTACTATTGCTCAGTCGGTTATTTCCCCGATTTTAAGTGTCGAACGTTTTGGTTGATATCGTTAGCTACAGATAGCAGATGTTAGCATGTCAGCTGATCCATACTTCCTTTCTGGCTAACAATTAGCCTTCCCCTTTGCTGACAGGGTATTTATTCCTGACTGTTAAATCGTCATTGTTCCTCATGTGACGCTAACTGTATTCATCTGAAGTGTGAGCCGTGCATTTCAGGCACCCTTTTGCCTTTGGAAACACTATGATGCTGGGTCATGTGGACACTACAGGGCACAATCAATTTCTGGAGCGGAACAATGGACTTTATAAAGTCGTGGGAGCTCATATCTCTGAGATGGCTTCCTGTGGCTCAGTTAATAAACTCTAAAATAGCTCTGCAGTTGTGCGAGGCCATAGAGAGACCACAGTAGATCCGTGACATGTTCGTGCCATATGAACCAAGGACTGTGTGGAGCATAGGGACTGAGTTCCGGCAGGAGGCCAGAGTCCGGACTAAACATGGGGAGTCAGCGTTTTAGATGCATGCCGCAACAATCTGGAACTTCCTGATAATTTGAGACACGCTTCTACTAACCTGTCAATAAAGTCTAAACAGTTTTATTTAGTTGGATGTACACTGAAAAATGTTATCTGCGTTTGGAAAATTAAAGAGATCATGAGTGATAAGACCCACCGACCTCATGAGTGGGCTTCCAGCAACAAGCAGTCATCTTTTTCAAGATGTATTTGTATACCCACATTGATGTATTTGGCTGAATGTATTATTAACATAGTATGAAGTATAAAATAGTATGAAGATGCCATACATGTGAGAAGCGGAACAAAGGTTATCATGAGAACTGCTGGGCCTTTAAATGTCATTCATCTTTAAATAAGTTATACTAAAATCATGTGCAATGCTGCAACTTCAGAATGTTCACTGAACAATGTCACTTTACTTATCTACTTATTATCCTGCCCTATAACTCTGCACTACTACATATATATTTTTCTTTTTTGAAAGACTGGTATTACAGCATTTACAGCTAGTTAAGAAACATAGCCACTACTTATTTTGTGTGCTCCCTGTATGCTCTTACTACTGTCCTGTCTGTTAGCTGCAACATTGAAATTTCCCCACTGTGGGACAAATAAAGGATCTCTTATCTTATAATTTCGTATTAGGTGAAAAAACACAGGAATGTTGCACAGCAATTCATTTTTCATTGCTGTATTTGTTATTATTATTTTATTATTAGTGTTTTTTATTTTTGTTTTTCAGAATACAGGAGTTTAAAGGAGCACTGGGTGAAGGAAACATAAATCTGAAGACCTTACGAGAGTTATGCTTCAATGGTAAATATGTTTTTCTAGATTGTGTGTGTGTGTGTCACACCTCAGAGCAACACACACAAGTGCTGGTGATGACACAGTAGCTCAAGTTTGAAAAAATATATATACTTTTGCTTTTATTTTACAAAACATGAATGCAAGACAACGCTGCCTGCACTACAGGGCCTAGCGTGAAACAATTAAAATTTAATTGCCTTTGATGACAGTTAAAAATTAAATTTTACTAATGCAGCTAATGGATTACTCTTAATCAAAGGTATTATTTGATTGATTACGCAATTTATTTAAATAAAAATAATTTTAACTAGAGATGTAGAAATTGAAACCTCAATGAATCAGTGGAACATTTTGAATGTACCTCAAATGGTGCTTTCAGACCGGATCATGCGTTGCGTCGGGTTTCAATGCAAAGTCTATGGTGACGCGCGTTCGACCGTCGCAACGCACGGACCTCTCGGCACGCACAAACGGACTGTTCAGTAGACACGCACGGACTTGGCGGGAAAGTCAAAGGGGAGGAGCAGGAGCGAAAAATCAACGCCCACAGGAGATGGATTCTGTTCATCCTTTCCTTGGGACGTTCGTGCGACAACCAATCAGAGAGCCGCAAAGTGGTCACGGGGACATTAGTGGACTGAGTGAGCAGACTGAAAATACTCGTAAACAGCCAAAACAGGACCCACAACAGGCTTCACCAGAACTCAAACCAGGGTTTACAATGGGGGACTCTGTGCTTGTGAAAATATGCGTTGTCATGCTCCCGTGACCTTATGCAACTGCTTCGAGTGTGTTCGCCGATGCGGAAATACCGTTGAATAATATGAATAAACGTATGGCGCACCTCCGTGAACACATACTATTGTTATATAAAGCCCGTGGAATGTCTGTGAGCAAAGACACGCGGCAAAGCTGCATATTGGAGAAGATCTGTACACAAGAAGTCGCTAGCATAGCTCTGTTAGCATTAGAGCCGGCCGGCTACTTCCGGTACTTCCGGATCGCGTCAGGACGTTCTGGTGTGAAGTCCTCTGCGTCTGAAAACTAGAGAATGCGCGTCTGGTGAGCAAGGCTTCAGCGTTTCAGCGTTGCCGGTCTGAAAGCACCAAAACTGTTTCAAAACATTAAAAACTGTCGCCATCCAATGACGGTTCACCAGAACTGCGAATGACTGAACTGCATGGGTTCAACTGAAGGGAAGCTTAGTTTGCTTTTTATCAATCATATCATATACTGTCCTTTCAAAAGGATCTTCTATATTACAGGAATCCCATTTGAAGGAGGAATACGGGCTCTTTGTTGGAAAGTAAGTTCTAGTGTCTCATCAAGACAATACAGTTGAATTTTTATTAACCAACCTTTTTTAATTTGCATTTTAAGGTTGTGTTATCACTGTTCAGTCCCAATTTAAACAAAGTTCACTTTAGAAGGGTTCAATTAACAACCCTCATAAAGTCAAAGATTCACTTCAAAAACATGTGAGAGTGCTTTCTCTCCACAAATCAAGCATTTCTGTTTAATTGGAACCACAATTTGTCCACTTATTCACTTGGGACTGTAGTGTGAACACACCCTGAGTCATAATGTGGCAATCATCTGCTCACTGATTTGTCTAATTCCTTAATAGATTCTTCTCAACTACCTCCCTCTTGATCAGACAGAATGGGAGTCTTTCTTAAAGAAACAAAGGTAAAACACATTCACGTGTGAAACCAACTTGTGAGATTTTTGGATTGATACTTTAAACAGAGGTAGATCACTGCTCATTGGTATCAAGAAAAGTAGATCTTTGGTGAACCTGGAATAATTCATGTGGCTATGAATGAAGCTGGTTGGTTTGGCGAGTGTACTGCGCCCACTGGCGGTGGAAACATGTATACAACCTATATGCAAATGTAAAAATTAATTCATTCTTTCCTGTTTTTTTTTTGACCAATCATACCCTGCCTTTACGTCTTTGTTCAGTCGACTCGACAGCAGCTTTAGGGCTGCGTCACAGTTTTGCGCACCATGAGCTCATTAGGCCCGTCGAAAAATGTTTAAAGGAATAGTTCACCGTTTTTACATACTGACATATGTTCTTACCTTACCTTAGACTAGTTAATACGTACCTGTCTGGTCTTAGTCCGTGCGCTCTGTCATGCAAACGGAGCAAAAACGGGAGCACAAACGCAGCCTCCTCTGTATACTGTGTAGGACCAAAAGGTAGCTCCCGCTAGAAGCTACCAAACTCTTCCAAGTGTTCCCTATTAAATGTATATAGTTACGTGACGTGTTACACTGCAAAGTATAGTAACACAGAAATGTAACAGTCGATTTTCTCAGCGGATAAAACGGGTACTATATTGTGAGGCGTAGTAATCTGAGGAGCGCTACGTCCGCGCACTAACTTCTCTCCGTACTACAAGTCACGCTGCTTCTATTGACGGAAGTGAGCGAGAGAGAAGTCTCCGGAGAGAAGTTAGTGCGCGGACGTAGCGCTCCTCAGATTACTACGCCTCACAATATAGACCCGTTTTATCCGCTGAGAAAATCGACTGTTACATTTCTGTGTTACTATACTTTGCAGTGTAACACGTCACGTAACTATATACATTTAATAGGGAACACTTGGAAGAGTTTGGTAGCTTCTAGCGGGAGCTACCTTTTGGTCCTACACAGTATACAGAGGAGGCTGCGTTTGTGCTCCCGTTTTTGCTCCGTTTGCATGACAGAGCGCACGGACTAAGACCAGACAGGTACGTATTAACTAGTCTAAGGTAAGGTAAGAACATATGTCAGTATGTAAAAACGGTGAACTATTCCTTTTAATAAAGTATCAATTAGGGCTGGGCGATATGGCAAAAAAGTAAAATCTTGATTTTATTTCCTACTTTGGACGATTTCGATTTTAAATCGATTTTCATGAAAGTTACCAAAGACAGACTTTGCCCTTATTTATTTTTTCATCTTTCCGCTCAATATTCAAGTTTCAAAACTATTTTAAAAATGTGTTTCCCCCAATATGTACAAATTGTGCTGATATTGCAAGTATAATTCATGTGCTGCTGGAATTCTCACAATATCCTTCATTCGATTTCACGATTTTCACATTTTTCACAAATTCGATTTTTTTCATAAGCCGATTTATTGCCCAGCCCTACAATATGTTTATGCGAGGTGAAGAACAATATTATTCTTTGTGCCTCTGGTGCAATTAAAAAACGGCTTGAAATTCCCTGTGATTCATTTACCTTTATCATTAAACATCATAATTATTACATACTGTACAACTATATGAAGTATACGCATATAGTACAGTATTACATACAGTAACGTCCAGAACTGTTTTCTTCTAATGTTATTAGAAGTGTTATGACATGTGGAGCTGACCTAGTGTCAAAAACCTTCAGTACAAACAGATTCTCTAAGTATTTTGACTGAAAGCCACATCACTGCGCACGCGTCGTGAAGGAGAGATTGAGAGAGTAATACTGTACTGTTTGTTAAAAGATATATTGTTCATTTTGTTGATGTACTTTCTATATTTTTTTTGTCTGAAAGGGAGGTATACTCGCAGTTTTTAAAGGAAATGATAATTCAACCTGGTATTGCTAAAGCAAATTTGGGTCTTTCCAGAGAGGATGTGACATTAGAGGACCATGTGAGTTGGCAAATCAAACATCTTCCATAAATGTTCTTTCACCCGGGGTTTTGTCTTTGATCTGCTCTATTTACTTGACTCATAGCCGTTGAATCCAAACCCAGACAGCAGGTGGAATACCTACTTCAGAGATAATGAGATACTACTTCAGATTGACAAGGACGTAAGGTATGTAGTCTTTTTAATCAATCGTTAAAGGAATAGGCCACCATTTTTACATACTGACATACAGTGGGGCAAAAAAGTATTTAGTCAGCCACCAATCGTGCAAGTTCTCCCACTTAAAATAATGACAGAGGTCTGTAATTTTCATCATAGGTACACTTCAACTGTGAGAGACAGAATGTGAAAAAAAAAATCCAGGAATTCACATTGTAGGATTTTTAAAGAATTTATTTGTAAATTATGGTGGAAAATAAGTATTTGGTCAATAACAAAAATTCAACTCAATACTTTGTGATATAACCTTTTGTTGGCAATAACAGAGGTCAAACAATTACTATAGGTCTTTACCAGGTTTGCACACACAGTAGCTGGTATGTTGGTCCATTCCTCCATGCAGATCTTCTTGAGAGCAGTGAACACGGACTTTCAACTCCCTCCACAGATTTTCAATGGGGTTGAGGTCTGGAGACTGGCTAGGCCACTCCAGGACTTTCAAATGCTTCTTACGGAGCCACTCCTTCGTTGCCCGGGCGGTGTGTTTGGGATCATTGTCATGCTGGAAGACCCAGCCATGTTTCATCTTCAAAGCTCTCACTGATGGAAGGAGGTTTTGGCTCAAAATCTCACGATACATGGCCCCATTCATTCTTTCCTTAACACGGATCAGTCGTCCTGTCCCCTTAGCAGAAAAACAGCCCCAAAGCATGACGTTTCCACCCCCATGCTTCACAGTAGGTATGGTGTTCTTGGGATGCAACTCAGTATTCTTCTTCCTCCAAACACGACGAGTTGAGTTTATACCAAACAGTTCTACTTTGGTTTCATCTGACCACATGACATTCTCCCAATCATCCATGTGCTCTCTGGCAAACTTCAGACGGGCCTGGACATGCACTGACTGCAGCAGGGGGACACGTCTGGCACTGCAGGATTTGATTCCCTGTCGTCGTAGTGTGTTACTGATGGTAACCTTTGTTACTTTGGTCCCAGCTCTCTGCAGGTCATTCACCAGGTCCCCCCGTGTGGTTCTGGGATTTTTGATCACCGTTCTCATGATCATTTTGACCCCACGGGATGAGATCTTGCGATCGAGGGAGATTATCAGTGGTCTTGTATGTCTTCCATTTTCTGATAATTGCTCCCACAGTTGATTTGTTCACACCAAGCTGCTTGCCTAATGTAGATTCACTCTTCCCAGTCTAGTGGAGGTCTACAATTCTTTTCCTGGTGTCCTTCGACAGCTCTTTGGTCTTGGCCATAGTGGAGTTTGGAGTCTGACTGTTTGAGGCTGTGGACAGGTGTCTTTCATACAGAGAACGAGTTCAAACAGGTGCCATTAATACAGGTAACAAGTGGAGGACAGAAGAGCTTCTTAAAGAAGTTACAGGTCTGTGAGAGCCAGAGATGTTCCTTGTTTGAAATGACCAATTACTTATTTTCCATCATAATTTACAAATAAATTCTTTAAAAATCCTACAATGTGAATTCCTGGATTTTTTTTTCACATTCTGTCTCTCACAGTTGAAGTGTATCTATGATGAAAATTACAGCCCTCTGTCATTATTTCAAGTGGGAGAACTGGCACAATCGGTGGCTGACTAAATACTTTTTTGCCCCACTGTATGTTCTTACCTTACGTTAGACTAGTTGATATGTACCTTCCTGGTCTTTTTCCGTGCGCTCTGTCATGCAAACGGAGCATAAATGCAGCCTCTTCCACATACTGTATAGTTCCGCTCACATCCGTCAATAGAAGCAGCGTGACTTGTAGTACGTACAGGAGCGGGAGAGAAGTCTTTAGGAGTTAGTGCGCGGACGTAGTGCTCCTCGTATTATTACGCCTCACAATATAGTACCCCTTTTTATCCGCTGAGAAAATCGACGTTACATTTCTGTGTTACTATACTTTGTAGTGTAACACGTCACGTAACTGTATTTAAATAGGGAAAACGTGGAAGAGTTTGGTAGCTTCTAACGGGAGCTGATTTGGAACTATACAGTATGTGGAAGAGGCTGCGTTTGTGCTCCGTTTGCATGACAGAGCGCACGGATAAAGATCAGACAGGTACATATCAACTAGTCTAAGGTAAGGTAAGAAATATGTCAGTATGTAAAAACGGTGGCCTATTCCTTTAAATCATTACTTAAAATGCATTATGTTCACAGGCGGCTGTATCCTGACATGGCATTTTTTCAGCGGCCTACTGACTACCCGTGCCAACTTATATTAGATCCTCAAAATGATTATGAGACACTTCGGCGACGAGTTGAGCAAACCACCTTAAAAGCACAAACAGTAAATCGCAACCGCAGTGGAGTCACAAATGTTAGTCAATGTTGAGATTATTGTTTATGCTGTTTTTCTGAATTGGCTAATGTTGTCAGTTGGATTGTTTATAGGTAAGCTCTCCTGGAAAAACTTTGAACCTATATCCATCCAATGAGTATGAGGTGTTACCCAATGGAATTGAGGCGCATTGGGAGGTTGTGGAGCGAATCCTGTTCATTTACGCCAAGTTGAACCCTGGCATTGCTTATGTACAGGGCATGAATGAGATTGTTGGCCCAATTTATTACACTTTTGCAACGGACCCGAATGACCAGTGGAAAGGTATGAGTAAAGAATTGTGTTTGACATAATGATCCGATTAAAGACACTTATACAACGTTAACCACTTGCCTTCATTTATTTATTAGAGCATGCCGAAGCAGACACCTTCTTCTGTTTCACAAACCTGATGTCAGAGAACAGAGACAACTTCATCAAGAGCTTGGATGATTCCCAGTGTGGCATCACCTACAAGATGGAGAGTGTCTACTCAATGCTCAAAGAGAAAGATGAAGAACTCTATCTGAAACTGGTGAGTACATTTGTCTCAGTCATGGTCCTCGGCTGCATGCCATTTCTATCTGATGTTGTTGCCTTTTTGAAGCATGTAGCAATGGGTGTGACCTTTCCTTGGGTGTCATTCGCTTCAAATTGTGTAAAATACCAGCAATTGTCATGGACACGAAAAACCCCTTGACACCTATAAAGTAGCGGTTTAGAGTTCCTCCTTTTAATTGATCAGTTTCTTGAACAATTACATACTTTGTAAGTTTGTATAATATTATCAAATCTAGTTATATGTTAAATGTGTTGTGGGGTCACCTGCATGTGAAAGCTAGCAGGTGATGCCTCCCGTCATACCTCTGAAGGGAAGCAGGGCAGGGCTTGGTTAGTACGGGGATGGGAGACCTGTGGGAACACCAGGTGCCACATTGGGGTGGCTGTAAACACATGAACTAGAATGAGTCTGGTGTTTGCCTAAAATGGTTGGTGGTCGGATGCACATACTGGTTGCCTTCTGTAGCTACAGTGCTTTATCACCACTGTGAATCAGTTAATGAATAATGACATGTGAAGCGCATTTGAGTGTTCAGAAAAGTGGTATATAAATTATTATCATTTTTGTTACTCTAATGGCCCTAATGAAGCAATATTACAAAGGATGTGGGAAATCTGGGCAGGGCAACAATGGATTTGGAGTTATTGTTTCGTATTGTGACCCTACATTCAGTGAATGTTATCAAAAAAATTTCAAGTTTTGATATTCCATTCTCATGTATTTCACAGGAGGAGCAGAACATCAAACCCCAATATTTTACATTTCGCTGGTTGACCCTCTTGTTGTTCGCAGGAGTTTCTTCTTCCAGATGTCATTCGAATTTGGGACACTCTGTTCTCGGATCTTGACCGTTTTCATTTCCTGATTGTTGTCTGCTGTGCTATGCTCATGTAAATGTTTATTTTGATTCATTGTCTTTCTGTCAGCAGCAATATGACTAAAACTGTCTCCATCCTCAGACTCATCAGAAAAAACTTGCTTTCAGGAGACTTTACTGTGAATATGAGGTCGTTACAGGTAAATGTATATTGCATCTTATTGATCTTTATGCTGTAAAGCATGACAACTGGTGGTGAGCCCATCAACCGCTTGATACAAATGTCAATTTTAACAAAAAATTGGGGAAAAAAAGTATTTAGTCAGTATAGTATAGTATGCCTCAACTATGAGAGACAGAATAAGAAAAAAAAAAATTCCAGAATTCCTCCTGCAAATTCTGTCCCATTCCTCCATGCAGATCTCCTCTAGAGCAATGATGGGCTGTTGCTGGGCAACAGACTTTCAACTCCCTCCAAAGAGTTTCTATGGGGTTGAGATCTGGAGACTGGCTAGTCCAATCCAGGACCTTTTTATAATGCTTCTTACGAAGCCACTCCTTCGTTGCATAGTGTTTGCAATCATTGTCATGCTGAAAGACCCAGCCACGTTTTATCTTCAATGCCCTAGCTCAGGGGTGGTGTGTTACAGCAAAGAGCCACATCATACAAATGCACACACACACACACACACACACACACACACACACACACACACACACACACACACACACACACACACACACACACACACACACACACACACACACACACACACACACACACACACACACACACACACACACACACACACACACACACACACACACACACACACACACACACGTGTGTCTGAGCAGAGAGAGGTGTGCTCTGCTCACAGATTTATTGTAAATGTCATCAACATGATAATGACAGAAATTGACTCGTACAGCACTAAAGGGCTGGACTCTACTATCCCCGGTTTGCGGGCGCTTCTACCGCTCGCTTCAGCCGCTCCCCGGTACTTTTTTATTATGGTTTGGCCCTGGTTCTAACTGGGCGAGTCGATACCAGAACAATTTCACGTCAGCGAACATCAATTATGATTCCGAAAAGTATGCTTTCAATCTCTAACCAAGAAAAAAAATCAAGTTTCAGTCCAGTGTTCAGCAGAAACACAACTGTCTTTATCGAACCATGATTCACTCTCTGACTGCGTTTAGTAAAAGATATAGATTTGACACATAACACCAACCCCCCGTTAGCTGATTTAGAACCACAGACACATATTCAGTATAAGACCAGATACTTTTGCATTTGATTGAAGACAGACACTCACCAGGCAGAGTTGGCTTATCTCCTGGTGTGGCTGGTGTTAGCTGGTTTTAGCCGATGTCCGTAAATTTAATCCATTTGGTCAAACCACCTCCAGACTTTTCGGGTCTGCCTCTACTTCTGCTGCTGTGATCTTTCATTTCACGGTTGTCAATTTTAAGCTTTTTAACTTTTCTCTGCATTGTGATGTTCGTGGGAATCATTCTGCTCTGTCCTTAGTGCTAGCTCCACAAACACCTTCTGGTTTCTGGTGGAACCATCGAGCTCACGCTGGTGTCCTCTCCTCAAACTGAGGAAGGTGTTGCCCTTATCCAGCGACCAAGGAGCTGTTTTCCGTACGGACGTCATGGGTCGAGGCAACGTGTTGTTTGTTATGATATTTGCAACAGCTGAGGCAGCGGCTGCAGAGTGATTGACAGCGCATCTGACCAATCAGAATTGACGTTCGCCGACGTCAGATTGTTTTGGTGGCCTGGCTAGTGGAGTGAAGTCGGCCTTTACTATGGGTCAGAACTACATAGGGAATAGGGAAAGCCCGAGAGCCGGACAGAACCAGCCAAATAGCCGCATGCGGCTCACGGGCCGCGGGTTGGCCACCCCTGCCCTAGCTGATGGAAGGAGGTTTTCATTCAAAATCTCACGATACGTGGCCCCATTCATTCATTCTTTTACACGGATCAGTTGTCCTGGTTGCCCTTTGCAAAAAAACAGCCCCAAAGCATGATGTTTCCACCCCCATGTTTCACAGTAGGTATGGTTCTTTGGATGCAACTCAGAATTCTTTCTCCTCCAAACGCAACGAGTTGAGTTTTTACCATATGATGGACCTGGACATGTACTGGCTTAAGCAGGGGACGGGATGTCTGGCAATGCAGGATTTGAGTTCCTGGCGGTGTAATGGGTTACTGATGGTAACCTTTGTTACCTTGGTCCCAGCTCTCTGCAGGTCATTCACAAGACCACGTGTGGTTCCGGGATTTTCGCTCACCGGTCTTGTGATCATTTTGAACCTACGGGGTGAAATCTTAGGTGGAGCCCCAGATTGAGGGAGATTATCAGTGGTCTCGTATGTCTTCTATTATCTAATAATTGCTCCCACAGTTGATATCTTCACACCAAGCTTCTTACCTATTGCAAATTCAGTGTTCCCAGCTTGGTGCAGGTCTACAATTTTGTTTCTAGTGTCCTTTGACAGCTCTTTGGCCATAAGGGAGTTTGGAGTTTGACTGTTTGATGTTGTGGACAGGTGTCTTTCATACTGACAATGAGTGGAGGAGAGAGGAGCCTCTTAAGGAGTTACAGGTCTGTGAGAGCCAGAAATCATAGGATTAGTGTGATGTGATTTTCTGGATTTTTTTTCTAATTCTGTTTCTATTGAGGTATACCTATGGTGGAAATTACAGGCCTCCTGCATGTTTTTATGTGGGAGAACTTTAACAATTGGTGGCTGACTAAATACTTTTTTGCCCCACTGTAAGAGGGGCGGAATCAACCATCAAATACTTCCTATAGCCAACACTATTTTATTGATGTTTAAATTTAACGTCTCATTTGTAATTTTGTGTGTGTGTTTTTGTGTTTCAGGATTATCCAATCTCTGATGTACAAACAATTTTGGCTAAAGCCAAAGACCTACGAGATAACTCATAACGTTAGTAAAATTCCAACTTATTTTGTATTCAGTAGTCTGCCGACTGCCATATAGGACGAAGAGCTGAAGGAACAGTTTTAGGGAGAGGAGCTGATTGCCACATTGTACATAATTGAGAAATGTTGGTATTAGTTGTCCTCTACAAGCCATTTCTCCCATGGAGATTTCTTATCCTCTAATAATGATGTTTGCTACATTGATCTTACACTACCAATTTCAGCAATAACCTTGCTTGAAATGTTCAATGACGACGCCAACACCGATGCCACTTGTATTGTTTATTCAATATTTATACTTTGAGCAATAGTGCATGTATCTGCATTTAATTATTTAACAATGTTTTTTGTGTAAGTGGTGGAGCCTTATTTTATACTCGTAATGTGAAATGGGTGACAGTATTTCAATTGAATTGCCTTATTGTGGTATTATTCACAAACCATTTATTTATTGAGCTTGAAGTCTCAAATCCCAAAGGCATCTCGCTTTGACGGCAGTTTCATTTAAGTATACTTCCACAGCTTAAACTCTTTCTTTATGATTTTTTTTAACAAACCGAAGTTTTACTTTATACATGAACAGGTTGATTTTCTTTTCTTTTTCCAACTGAATGTAAATGCAATTATTCACCTTTTTTTTGTATTACAATTATTTTCATGAGTCTTTGTATTATTTGAGATGCAATGTGTGCATGTGACATAAACATGTTACTTTACCTTTAACGTAAGATAAGCTCTCTTGTTTTTTATTAACTGACGATACCATATAGTATAGGTTTATAGTCATGGGTACAAAGCTGACCCACTGTTTATTGTGCCAGGAACAGACATCTCAAGTTGTCATTTAGAACCAACATCTGAGCTTTGTCAGCCTAAAATCACAGAGGCTTGGTTTGCATCCCTCTTGGCCTTATTTTAATTGCCCTTTAGAAATATAAAACACATGCATCCCCCTTTGTGTCCCCCATTATTATGGGCCTCAAATTATATCAAGGGCAAATGCATTGCACGACTTCTCAGTTTGGTTCCATTGCCCTCTTGGTATTTCAGTAATTGGAACAAACCTCTGTATGATATTAACCTGCATACAATTTAATTGTACATTAGGTTGGCTTGCCACCCTGCAGATATGATCTATAGTGGAGTCACTAAGCGAAAAACTAGTTAATCAAAGACGTTAATACAAGCATATTTGCTAATTAAATGTAGTAGGCAGAAGTTGTATGACGAATGTGTGAGTGTGATGCAGTGCAAGTTGTGTTCACATAAAGGGGTATTAATGTGAAATTGTCGCTGTAATGGTTGTAAAAGTGGACCAACCACACACTTGAATGTTCAGTTGTATCTTTGTTCAAGATACAACTTGCATGCCTCGAGAGCAGATGGATTAATTGAATGCCATACTGTGGAACATTCTAGGCAAAACATTTAAATGGACACGAGAACAAAGGGGACCCTGCACCAAGACAGATGTGTGATGCATCTTTAAGGTGATTTTTAAAGCTAAAGCCCAAATTCATGCCAGTGTTGTATTGTTTTCTGAAGTCGTTGCTGTTTCTATTATGTGCTTCAGATTAATGCTTTCTCTTACTTTTAATACATTGCATGCAAATGATTAGAATTAAATTTTTGTGAAGTTTGAAATGTTTTATATTTTTGCATATATGTACATTAAATTAAAGTATCCAGTGTGTAATAATTTATTCCATAATTCTTACAGCAATGGTTCTCATGATTCAACACTACTACTACAAGTGAGGGGAATAGACCAGAAAATAGTTCACTCCACACTGACATCTTGTGGTTTTATTTTAGTGAGAGTGGTTCAACACTGAAACATTATGTTATTTACATATATATATTAAGTGTTTTTGAAAATGTTTTATCTTAGCTATAGTTAAAATACGGTTTTAGTTTTAGGGATGTTATTTTTTGAAGATAGTTTCCTTTTTTTGCACATGTTAGCGCGAGGCGCAAGCCATCAACGGCAATGCATGGTTACCACGGCAACAGAAAGGCGCTCCGACAAAGTCCAACGGAGCGCAAATGAAAACGTTATTTTTTAGCTACCCCCTTTTTTTGAGGTTCAAGGTACGTTTACTACAAATGTATTTTTTGTTAAATGTACGTTGTATTATTATTGCTATATATATAAAATAACTATATATATATATATATATATATATATATATATATATATAAAATAAATAAATACTTTTTTATCCTAACCGATAGTCTTGTGAACCTAAAATCAACACGTCAGACCACAACATGGGGTCTTCATATATTATATTTATTTTTCTTATGCATACTAGGTTTTTACATTTCCAGATTGATTCGAATTAAAACAATACCTGGTATAACTTGTGAGAACCATAGACCGTGTGAGAACCCACAATGAAGCCACTGGTTGGTGATGTTGATGTTGGTGGGGGGCTTCCGTTATTATAAAAGATCCATGGGGGCTCCTAGCCTGGCTAACGCCAGACGAAATATCACAAGTGAGGATTCGAGCGCACACAGCAGTCTGGCGTTAGCCAGGCTAGGGGGCTCCATGGACGAAGGGGTATGTGGGGGGTTTGGATCTAAATCAGGAAACGCCGCCCACTTTGCAGCCATATGGTGAGTTGTAAAAAGGGTGCCTGTTTATATGAGAGGGTGGAGTTTCTCAGATAGTTGTACTGTTTTATAGATTAAAAAAAAACGACAAGATATGTTTTATAGTTGCCTTGTTAGATATTTTGGTTTTTGTTTACTTGTTGTTATACTGTTGTATTTTGTGCTTTTTGTTTTTTTTTTTTGTTTTGTTTTTTTCCATTTTGTTTGTTCTATTTTTTTATTTTTTTTTCTTTTTTTTGGCTTGTTATTCGTTTTTTTTTTTTTTGGATTGTTTTTTTCTTGTTTTTATGATTTTTATGTTATTATGCGTTTTTTTTTTATGTTGTGTTGTGGTTTTATCTGGTTTGTGATTTGTTTTCTTTTGTTTTTTGGTTTTGATTGTTGTTGTATTTAATTTCTGTTTGCGTTGAAATTCTTTGATTTTTTTTATTATTCTTGTTTATTTTTATTTTTTTTTTTCTTTTTGTTGTTTTTCTTTCTGAATTCTTTGTGTGTTTCTTTTATTGTTCTTGGAGTTTGCGGTTTTTTTTCAATTTGTTTTTTTTTTTATTTTCTTTGTTGTTTCTTGTTGAGTTTTGTTTTGTTTTTATTGTACACTTGATTTTTGACATTTAGTTGTTTGTCTATTTATTTTTTGTTTTTTGTTTTTTTTTTCCTTTGTTCTTGTTTTTTTTTGTTTTTTTGTTTTTATTTTTTTTGTTTTTTTCTTTTTTTGTATTTTAGCTTTTTTTTTTTTTTCTTTTTTTTTGTGGACTTTTGTCTTTTTTTCTACTTTATTTTTTTTTTCTTTTTTTGATTCGTGGTTTTTATATTTCTTGTTTTTTTCTTTTTTTTTGTTTTTTCTTTTGGTTTTATTTCGGTTTTGATTTTTTTTGTTTTATTTTTTATTTGGTTTTTTTTTTTTTTATTTAATTCTTTTTTATTTTTGTGTTTATGTTTTTATATGTGTTTTTTCTTTTTTGTATTTTTTTTGTTTTACTGTTTTTTATATGAGTTTCCCTTGCTTGTATTGTTTGTTTTTTTTGCTTCTTTGTGTTGTTTGTTTTTTTTGGGTTTTGTTGTTTTTTTTTGTTTTTTTTTATTTTTTGTTTTCTGCTCTTTGTTGTTTTAGCTTTTTCTTTTTTTTTTTTGTATGTATTTTTTTTTTTGGTTTTGGTCTATTGGTTCTTGTTTTCTTGTTTTTGGTTTTTGTTTTGTTTTGATTGATTTTTATATTCTTTTTTTGTTTTGTGTTTTTGTTTGTTTTTTTTTTTTTTTTTTTTTTCTCTTGTCTTTTTTTTTTTTTTTCAATCTTGGTTTTTTTTGATTTTTTTTTTGGCTTTTTTTTTCTTTTTTGTATTTTTTTACTTTTTTGTTTTAAGGTTTTGTTGTGCGTTTTGTTTTTTTTTTGTGTTTGTTTGATATGTTTGGTCATTTTTGTTTTAGTTTTGTGTTTTTATAGTTTTTTTCTTTTTCTTTGTTGTTGACTAGTTTTTTTTTATTTTGGTTGGTTTATGTGATTGGTTGTTCTCTTTTTTCTTTTTTAGTTGTTTTATTGATGTTTTTTGGTTGATGGGTTGTAGTTCTTATTTTTTTTTTGTTGTTTTGTTTTAGTTTTTTCTTTTGTTTTTTTTTGTAGTTTTTGTTTCGTTTATTTTTTTTTCTTTTGTTTTTGTTTTTTTGTTGTTGGGTTCTGAGTTGGGGTTGTTTTTGTTGGAGTTTTGGTTGGTTTTTTTGTCTTGTGTTTTTTGTTTTGTTGTTTTCTGATTTTGGGAGTGATTTTGATCTGTGGTTTTTTTGGATTTTTAATGGTTTTTTCTTTTGTTCCTTTTGTCTTGTTATAGTGTGTTTCTTTATTCGTTGTTGTGGGTGGGTTTTTTGGTCTATGTTGGTTAGCGAGGGTGTTTTGTGTGGATTTTGTTTGTTGTTGTTAGGTGTGTGGGTGCGAGGGGATGTTTTGATTGTGTTATTTTATTTTGTTTTTTTTTTTATTTTTCTTGTTTTTTCCCTTCCTTTTTATGTAGGCTGTTTTTTTTTTGATTTTCGTTTTTTTGCTTTTTTTTTTCTTTTTTTTATTTTGATTGCGTTGATTTTTTTGTTGTTTTTCTTTTTTATTTTTTTTTTATTTTTTGTTTTTTCATTTTTTATTTTGGTGTTCATTGTAGTCTGTTTGTCTCTTTTTTAGTTTTTTGTTTTTAGTTGTATGTTTTGTTGCTGTAGTTTATTGCTTTTTTTTTTTTTTTTGGGGTTTGTTTTGTTTTTGTTGTTTGTTTTTTTGGTTTTTTTTTTTGTTTTTGTTTTGTTTTTTTCTATTCTATTATTTTTGTTTTGCTTTGCTATTTTTTGTTTTTTTTACGCTGTTTATTTTTTTTTCTTATTTTGTGGTTTTTCATGTCTGTTTGTGGGTTTGATTTTTTCTTGTATTTTTTTGTAGTCTTGTATTTTTTTTTTTTTTTTTATTTCGTGCGTATTTTTTGTTGTTGTTTTTTTTGTGTTGTAGTTTAGTTGTTTGTGTTTTTGTTTATGTTTGAATGGTGTTGTTTGTTTGGTGTCGGTTGATCCCTTTGCGGTTTTTTGTTTTTGGGGGTTCCCTTTTTTTTTTGTTTGTTTTTTGTTTTTTGGGTTAGGGTTTTTTTTTAGTGTGTTTGTTTGTGGTGTTGGTTGTTTGGTTGAGTTGGGGTGATGGGGGGGTGTTGTTTTGTGAGAGGAAGGGGGGGGTGGGGTTGGTCGGGGGTTGGGGGGCGGGGAGGGGGGGGGGGGGCGGGGAGGGGGGGGGTGGTGGAGAGCGCGGGGGGGTGGGGTGCTCGGCTGTTGGGTGGTGATTGCCAAAGTGGCGGCGCGGGCGTGGTAGGGGGGGTGGGGGGGGGGGGGGGAGTGGTTTGAATTGATTGGAGTTCTTTTTTTTTTTTGTTTCGTTTTCTTTGTTTTGTTTTGGTTTTTTTTTTTTTTATTTGTTTTTTTTCTGAAATCTGTTCTTTTTTTGACTATGTTACTTCTGGTTTTTTGTTTTTTTTTTGTTCTTTTTTTGATTTGTTTCTTCTTTTTTTTTATATTGTTTGTTTCCTTGCTTTTTTTTGGTCGTCTTGTTATGCTTTTTTTTTTTTGGGCTTTTTCTTTCTTTTTTGTTTGTTTTCCATTTAGTATTTTACTTGTGTTTTTGTTTTTTTTTTATTGTTTGCTTTTTTTTGTTATTTCTTTTGTTTTTTTTCCTTTTTAAGTTGGTTTTGTTTTTAGCGTTGTTTTTGTTTTTGTTTTTTTGTTTTGGTCCTGTTTGTTTTGATTACGTTTTTTTTTTTGTGTCATTAGTTTAGTTTTTTGTTTTTTTTGTTTTTGTTTTGTTTGGTTCGTTTTTTGTTGGGTTTTTGGGACTTGTATTATATTACGCATATTATTTTGGATGGTGTTTTTTTTTGTTTTATTGTTTTTTTTTGTTTATTTATAGTTTGTTTTTTCCTGGTATTTTTTGAATTTTTCTTTTTGTCTCTTTTTTTTGTTTCTTCTGTTTTTAGTTGGATTTTGTTGTTTTTTTTGTTTTGTTATTTTATTTTTTGCGAGGTTTTTATTTTTTTCTGTTTGTTGTTGTGTTATAATTTATAATTATTCCATAATATTATTTTATATGATTTTATGGTAAATTTAGTGATTTTTGTAATATTGCAAATTTTTACCTTATAATTTTGTTTATTTTTTATTGATATTTTTTAATTATTTTTGTTTAGTTTTGTTTTTTTCATGTTGAGTTTGTTTAAAGTTTTTTTTTTTTCTTTTTATTGTTTTTTCTTACATGTAAGTTTTTTCATTTTGGATGTTTTTTTTTTTTTTTTTTTTTTTCTTGTCCTTTTTTGTTTTTTTGCTATTTTTTTTTTTTATATTGTTTTTCTTTCTTGGTTTTGTGTCTGGATTGTTTTTGGTTTGTCTTTGTTTAATCTTATGTTTTTGTTTTTTTTTTATTTTTTTACTTTCTTTTCTATTTTTTTATTTTTGTTTTGTTTTTTCTTTTTGTTTTTATAGTTTCTTTTTTTTTCTTCTTTTTTGTTTGTTTTGATGTTTTTGTTTGGTTATTTTTTGTTTTTGGTTTTTTTTTTGTTATGTTGTTTTTGTTTTTTTGTTCTTATTTTTTTTTCTGCTTTTTTTTTTTTGTGTTTCTGTTATCTTTGTGTTGATTTCACTTTTTTTTTCTTGTTGTGTTTAGTTGGATGTTTATTTTTTTTGATCTGTTGTTTTTTTTTTTTTTTTTTTTTGTTTTTTGTCAGTGTTTTCTTTTTTGTGGTGGTTTATTGTTTTTTGGTTTTTTGTTTTTTTGATTTGTTTATTTTGTTTTTTTTGTTTTTTTTTTTGTGTTGTTTTTTGGTTTTTTTTTTGTTTGAGGTTTTTTTTTTAATTGTATGTTATTTTTTTTTTATTTTGGTTTTGTTTCTGTTTATTATAAAGTTGATGCTTTGTTTTTTTAATTTGTTTTTTGTTTTTGTTTTTGATCTTATTTTCTTTTTTGATGATTTTATTTTTTTTGTTTTGTTGTACCTTTGATGATTTGTTTATGTTTTTTAGCCTATTTATTTTTTTTATTTTGTGTAGTTTTTTTTTTGGTTTTTTGGGTTTGGGTTTATTTTGTTATTATTTGTTATTTTTATATGTTTTGTTATTTTTTTGTTTTTGTTGTTTTTTTTTTTTTTTTTGTTTTTTTTCTTTTGATTTTTATATTGATCATGTTGTTTTTGGTGTGTTCTTTTTTTTTGTTATTTGAGATTTTATTGGTTTTTTTGTTTGTTTTTTCTTTTTAATTGGTTTTTTTTTTAGTGGTTTATTTTTATTTTTTTTTTTTATTTTTTCTTTTGTTTTTTTGTGTTTTATATTGTTATTTGTTTTTTTGTTATTTTCTTTTTTGTTGTTTTTATTTTTTTTTGTTTTTTTATTTATGTTCTGGTTTTTTTTTTTTCTTTTTGTTTTTTTTTAGTTTTTTTTTTTATAATAGTTTTTTGATGTTTTTTTTTTTTTTTTGTGGTTTCCTTTCGCTTTTCTGTGTTTGTTTGGGTTTTTTTTTGTTTGTTTTATTTGTTTTTTTTTTTGTCTTTTCGTTGTTGTTCCCGTTGTTTTTTCTTTTTCGGTTTTTTTTTGTTTGTTTTTTTTTTTTTTTTTTTTTGGTTTTTGTTTTGTTTATTTTTTCTTGTTGGTCATGAATTTTTAATTTGTGTTTTGTTTATTTTGAATTTTTTGTTGTATTTTTTTTTTTTTGTTTGTTTTTTGTTGTGTGCGTTTGTTTTTTTTTAGTCTGTTTTATTTTTTTGTTATTTATTTTGTTTATTTTTTATTTTTTTTTGTTTTTAAGTTCTTTTTTTTCTTCTTGTGTTGAATTGGTTGAGTTTCTTTAGTTGGTATTTTTTTCTTTTTTTGTTATTTTAGTTGGTTTTTTTTTCTTTTTTTGTTTGTTGTTTTGTTTTTTTCTTTTGTTTTGTCACTTTTTTGTGTGCTTTGGTTGTTTGTGTTTTATTTTTTTATTTTATTAATTTATTTTTTTTTTAGATATTTTTTTTTTTTTATTTTATTTTTTTTTTTTTGTATTTTTTTTTTAGTATTTTATTTTTTTATTGTTTGTTTGTATGTGTTTTTTATTTCTTTTTTTTTATTTTTTGTTTTTTCGGTTTTGTGTATGTTCTTCTATATTAGTTTTTCGTTTTTTTTAGTTATTGTGCTTTTTTAATTTTTTGTTTTGTTTTTGTTTTTTTTGTTTTTTGTTTGTTTGTTTGTTTTCAATTTGTTTTTGTTGTTTTGATTACTTTTTGTTTTGTTTTTGGTTATTTTTATTTTTTGTTGTATTTTTTTTTGGTTTTTTTTTGTTTTTTTTCGTTCTTTGTTTAAGAGTTGTTTGTTATCTGTGTTTATGTGTTTTTTCTTTTGTTTGGAGTTTTTTGGATTTGTTTTATGGGATGTTTTGTATTTTTTTTATTTTTATTGATTTGTTTGTTTTTTTTTTATTGTTGACAAGATTTTGTTTTTTGTTCGTTTTTTTATTCTTTTTTTTTTTTGTTTTATTTTGGTTATTTTTATTTATCTTATTTTTTATTTTTTTGTTGGTTCTAGTTTTTTTTTATTTTTTTGTTTTTTTTTTTTGTTTTTTGTTTTTTTTATTTGTTTTATTTTTTTTGCTTTTTTCTTTAGTTATTTTTTTTTTTGTGATTTTGCTTTTTAGATCTTTTTTTTTGTTTTTTTCATTCTATTTTTGTTTTTTTTGTTGTTTTTTTGCTTTTTGTGCTTTTTTGTGTGGTTGTTTTTTGTTTTGCTTGTTCATTTTTTCTTACTTTCTTTTTATTTTTTTTTTTTGCTATCTTTTTGGTTTTGTGTCTGTATTTTTGCGCTTTCTGTTTTTGTTTTTGCTTGGTCTTTTTTTTCTATCTTTTTTTGTTTTATTCTTGATTTTTTTTTTTTTTTTCGGTTTTTGTTTTTGATTATATTCTGTGTTTGTGTTTTGTTTGGTTTTGTGTGTTTTGATTTTTCTTTGTTATTTTGTGTTATTGTTTTTTGCTTCTGTTGTTTTTTCTTCCTTACTTTTGTTGTTTTTTGTTTTTTTTTTTTTTTCTTAATTGTTGTTTTTTTTTTGTTGGTGTTGTTTTGTTTATCCTTTGTTAGTTGTTTTTTATGATTTTTTTCGCTTATTTTAATTTTCTTGATTTTTTTTTTTTGTTTTTTATTCTTTTTGGTTTTGTTTTTTCGTTTTCTTTTAGTTTTTCTTTTTTTTTTGTTTGTCTTTTTATGTTTGTTCTTTTGTTTGTTTCTTTTGTGTTTATTTTTTTGTATTTTTTGTTTTGTACTTTTTTTTGATTTTTAGTTTTTCTTATTTTGTTTGGTTTCGTTGTTTTTTTTTTTTTGTTTTATTTTTATTTTTGATTTTATGTTGGTTTTATTTTTTAGCTTTTATTGTTTTTGTGGTTTTGTTTTTGTTTTTGTTTTTTTTTTTTTTTTTTTTGTTTTTTTCTTTTGTTTGTTTTTTTTTTTTTTCTTTCAGGTGTTTGGTGTTTCCCTTTATGTTGTTGAGTGTTTTTTTGTTTTTGTGATTTTTTATGTTATGTTTTTTTTGTTTTTTTTTTTTTTTTATCTTTGTTGTTTTTTGTTTGTGTGTTTTTGTTTTTTGTTTTTTTTTTTTTTTTTTTTTTTTTTTTTGGTTTTTGTTTTGGTTAAGTTTTTGTTTTTTGTCTTTTTTTTTGTTTTTTTGTTTTGTTTGTTTGGTGTTTTATACTTTTTTTTTGTGTCCTTTTTTTGTTCCATTTGTTTGTTTACTATTTTTTTCTTTTTGTTTTTTTTTTTGTTGTGTGTTTATGGGTGTTTTTTGGATTCTTTTGTTTACTCTCGCGTGTTTTTTTTTTTTGTTTTTTTCGCTAATTTATTTGTTTCTTTTTTTTTTTGATGTTTTTGTTATTTTTTATATGATTTATTCAACGTTTGTGATTTTTTTCTGTGTGCTCTCTAGTGTGTTTTATGTTGTTGCTGTGTTGGGTTGTGGTTATTTGTTGTGTTGGTTGGTTTTAATTTACTGTTTTTTTTTTATGTTAGTTATTTTTTTTTTCTTGTTTTTTTACGTTCCTTAGTGCTCGTCTTTTTTTATTCATTTGGTTGTTTGCCGGTTTTTGTGTATTCAGCTATGATATTGTTTTGTTTTTTTGTTTGTAGGTTTTGTTTTTTATTTTTTTTGTGTTTTTTGTCTGTGTTGTGTTGTGTTTTTGAGATTTCTTTTTCTTTTTTTTTGTTGTATTGGTTTATTATTTCATGTGTTTTTTTTTATGTTTTGTTTCTTTTTTGCTTTTTGTTGTTTTTTGTTTACGTTACTTTA